GGGCAGGGGCTCCGGGTAGCGGGAGCCAAGATAACCGGGAGTCCTGTGCCGGCCCCTCCCTGTGCAGGGACCCATAACTCATCTGTGGGAAACATCATCCTATTAAGTCTTCCTGACGGTTCCTTACAGGCTAACGCTGCTGCTTGGTCTGGGAGTTTTCTTCTCTTGTCGCCAAATTAACATATTTTGCATATTACAGTTGAGTGCCTTGCCTTAGATTGCAGTCTAAACTGCAAGTAAGTAAGTCCCCTAAGAGTTGCCATGAGTTTTGGCTTTTGTTATTTTGTTAAAAATGGGCTATGGTGTTCTTTCCTCCTGTTACCAAAGCCAATCTGAAATTAAACTAGTCTAGAAAAATTCATTGTTCTCTGTAGTTGCAGCTGTACCTGAAATAAAAATGTTATTGATGACTGAATTTTCTTGTGAGTATATTTGTTGAGCTGTATTAAAACAGAAAAAAAAGAAATTACTTGTATTTTCTTCGCTCTCTGCTTTGAAAACATCTATTTGATTTCACCCCCATCTGTTGTAATCAATAACCTGACCATCTTGTTTTTTATTAAATGCACTTACTCTTAATTTCATCCACCAGTGGTTTTAGAGAGAATAATGTGGAGTTACCTATATAGGTTTGACATTATAAATCACTTCTTGAGGCTGAATCTTATAGCGGTATCGATTGATCCTGATATATCACAGAAATTTACTGTCACTTCTGTTTTCAATTAAAGATACAATCAGTCAGATAATGACTTAATTGGATTTTACAGAAGATTGAGTTTTATTGTCCAGTGCTTTACGAGTTTAGTTAAGGAAGATCATTTTATCACACTTGTCAGCCTGCTCCCGCGGCTCCGTGCCCTTCTGCCGCTGCCACCGCCGTGTCGGCGGCGCGGCTCCCCGGAGGGCACGGCAGGCGGGACCCGGACGGAGGCAGGTGCTTCTCTTCCACCCCTGCTCTGTCAGTACTCAGGCCTTGCTGAAATACAGCTTCTTAATTCCTGGAGAAGGTTTCACGGCTCCCTTCCGCTCTCCCCTTCCCGTCTCCGAGCGCAAAGCATCCCGAGTAGCGCCGCGGCGGGGACCTGCCAGCGCCGGAGGGTGCTTCCTGCCGCGGACGGGGTCTGCCTGCTGCCGAGCTCGGCGCACCCTCCGGGAGCGAGGGGCCGCCTCGCTGCCCCGGGGGAGCCGGGGATGGCCTGCCCCGCACGGCGCTGGGGGTGCATGCCCCTCGGTGAAACTTGTGCCGCTGGCGGCCTTGGCCTGTTTGTAGTTGCCCGGCTGAGTGGGGAGCAGCCCTGGGGACAAACGTTCCCACTGTGGCACACGGGGGAAAAAAAGCCTGCTCTTTATGTAGACCAGTGTGGGACCTGGTTGGTGACAAGGGCGTTGAGAGTAAGTTATGGGGGGAACAAACAGCATCCTTCAGAAGACGGGCAATCCTGCCTGGAGCACCAAGTTTTGGAGAGTAATTCAAGTTCAGCACGGGGAGGAACTTCGCTGGAAAGGATCGCCGATGAAGGACGGCTGAGCAGCTCACGCCCCACCCCACCAAGAGTGGGAAGATGCGGGGTGATGTCCCGGGAAAGTCTGGGCCCCCTGCCGTGGGAAGGCGGTGGCTGTAGCTGGGAGCGGCGGCCCGGCTGGATGCTGGCCCGGCTCGGCTGCCCTGTGGCAGGACGGGGCCGGCTGCGCGCCGCTGGCACTTCTCCCTGGCCTGTCCGTGGGTGCTCTCTATTTGCACGGCCCGGGACGTTCCGCCTTTTGATCTCTGGGGCTCCTCCGAGCAGAACTGACGTGGGTGTTGCATGGAGCACGGAGACTTTTCACGGGCTTTTTGGAGTTTGGGGCAATTTGGGGTTTGGTTGGATTTGGTTCGGTTTGTCTGTGTCTGTGGTTGGTTTCTTTGTTGCTATTGTTTTGTTTCTGTTCCCTTTTTTGGTTGGGGGTTTTGTGGTTGGGGGTGTTGTTTTGTTTGTTCGTTTGTTGTTATTATTTTGTTTTCCCACCGCACCACAAGTCACCCTCTTCGCAAGTATCTCTAGCTGGTTGGTAAGCACTGACCTTTATTAATGCTACTCCTCTCAAAAACCGCGTTCCTCGCCCCTCTCCGGGCAGCTTTGCTAGTTTGCGTGAGACCCTGTGCGGAATTCACATTTTCCTCGAAGTCTTCCATGAAAGTTTCGCCCCGCCCTAGCGTGACGCCCCACCACACAGCCCAGCAGAGCTGGCATTTTGCTCCTCTACCTCCTTACTGTGTGCCCTCACAGGCGGTCAGAGACACCGAGAGTCACTCTCCGAGCGGGAAATCATGCCTAATTTATTCCTGCCTTCTCCTTGTAACGCCGGTAATGCCTTAAAGCAGTTCGGGCGAGGCGAACTAATCCTGTCGTTCGCACTCGCTCAAGTGGTCACCAGCATCCCGCGAAAGCCCTCTCCCCAAAAGCTTATTTTATAGCAGTGCAAGCACTACCGAACACTCCCTCCGGCCCGACCCCCTGCTCCGCCCGTAGTACGCGGAGGACGGCGGGGCACCGCGGCGCAGCAGACCCTGCGGCCGCCCCTGTCCGCCCGGCAGAGATGCGGCACACGGCGGGTTCCAGCGGCTGGGCGGTAGCGCCGAGTCCTCCGGATGGCTCCACATCGAAAAGTCGCTAAATGCCAGCGGATTCGGGCCGGTTTCCAGCCCGTCCCCCGCTCTGCCCGGTTGGCAGGGGTTCTTTGGCCCGTTGGCTGAGCCGGTCTTTTCCGCTAAATGTTATTTGCAGCATATGTTTCGCACATTCATTCTCTTTCGGTCTATTATTCTGGGCGCTAACTGCTAACACCTCATTGTCACCTTGAAATTTCCTCTGCTGTTTTGCAATTAAAAGCTTAATAGCCCTGGAAACGGAGTTCATGTGGCGCAGTTTACCATCGCCACTTCGTCTGAAAAGCTTTCTGCTGGGATCCCATTATGTGCTTGAATAAACCTTTTCGGCGAGCAGAAATGGGAACCGGGGTTGTCAGGTGTTGGGTTACAATGGACTTTCAGGCAGGGGACGTTTTGCTAACATAAATACGAATCTGGCCCTATGGGTAGGTGTTGTCAACTACTAGGACATGGAAATACTAGGACATGGAAACCATTTCCATCAAATATGAGAAAAGGATTACAGTATTATATCAAACTAGTATTTCAGCCTAAACGCCCGATGTGCAGCCAAGCGAGAGAGGGGCCCCCGGTCCTCCGCCAACCTACCGCCGCGTTGGGCACCTCGGCTCGGGATCTGGCAGCCGCCCGGCCGGCTGCGGTGGCGGACGCGCTCCGCAGGACCCACTCCGGCTAGTGGGGAAGTTGGGTTTTCCACTATGATCACCACCGCCTCAGGCAGTTGCACCCCGTTTCTTCGTTTAGAGGGAACGGATTTCCAAGAGTGGGTGCGCACCACCTTGCTTAATTTTGTGATAGTTGAATGGGTGGTCCTCTTCTTTCTTTTTCTCGCCTCGACTGGGACTCCCGAGTGCGCAAGAGGCCCCGCGGGGGAGGCCAGTTGCGAGCTGCAGGGTTCAGTGCATGCAAAAAAATTATGTTCTACTGACAGAAAATGCACTGCTCCCCGTATCTGATCCGATTAATCTCCTTGGCTCGGTGCGATTTACAGGTGGAGTGCTCATCCTTCTCACACCCCGCGCCCAGCCTGGTGGAGAAAGATCATGCTGAATCACTCTTCCTTTAGAAGTAGAAAAGTAACGAGGAAAGAGCCTAGTAATGAAATACCACGCAAATACCTTCGTACACTGTGTCTTTTATTCTCTCCGGCGAAATACTTCCCGAGTTTTAAATCTGATTTCCTTATTACGTAGCCTCGCTAAAATCTTTATTTCGTGTAGCGGTTATGGTGGAAAGATGCCTGGGAAGAGCAGGGGAGGTCCTGAGGCAACGAAATGGGTTCGGGTCCAAGCAGCAGCCCTGCGGACGCTGCGCCGCGGGCAGATGAACGCTTGCGGTAAATTTGTTTACCCCAGTAAAAAAACATATAACTTTTTTGGGTTTTTTTCCACCAATATATTACGTTTGGATTCAAGGTTCTCGCTGCCACACGGGAAATACGCGTGTTTCACCGAGAAACCCCTCCGCGTAGGGAAATGCAGAACACAAGTCCGCAGCATCAGACATTATCATTTAGGTTTCAAGCAACCTGACTTGCCGTGAATTTCACGTTCCTTCCTATAGCCACCGTTTGCGTTTGAGTAGCTGTCTTGCGGCGGGATGCAGGAGAGGCAGCGGGACCCCACGGGGGCAGGTGCCTACCGCGGCTCCCCAGCTCTGCGGCGCGATCCCGCAGGGACGCGGCCGCAGACCGATTCCGCCCAGTTGTTGAGGGCAGTTCCTGGTTCCGGACAGCTCCTGCTCCGAGCATCTCTTTGCAGCTGCAAAACTTTGACAAAACTTTGATCTCCACTCCCCGCCACTACCTCGCGACGCTGGGCCACAGGCGGTAGCAGCCATACGCCGTGCCGCCGAAGCCAGGGGGGCTTTCGAGGCGGGGCCGACGCAGAGCCCGGAGAAACCTCCTAGACCCCGCTCATCTCTCAGCCCCGGGTGCTTTCGGGGCGTGAGCCGTGAGGAGGCAGGGCGTGGGTGGCAACAACCGAGCTCCCGGTCCGCTCAGGGACGAACCCCTTCGGCACGGCACGGGCATCGCCGCCCCGACGGCGGGGCAGAGCCCCCCCGCCGCCGTTTCCCTCCCTCCCTCTCTCCCTCCCTCTCGTCCTCTATCTTTCTCTCCCTCCATTCCCCTGTCGGCGCCGGGGAAGGAGGGTGGCGGTGGCAGCGCTCTGCCCGCCGGTGCCACCGCGGCGGGCGGTGCCTCTTCCCGCCGGCCTGGGGTTGAGCCGCGCCCCCCGCAGAGCCCGCGGGCAAAGCCGCCCGCCTCCTCTCCTCCATCGCCCCGGCCTCCGCCCGCCCTCGCTGAGGCCTGCTGCACCCCGGAGCCGGCCGGGCTCCTCCCGCGGTTATGAACGGCTATGGCTCCCCGTACCTCTACATGGGCGGCCCGGTGTCGCAGCCACCGCGGGCTCCGCTGCAGCGGACGCCGAAGTGCGCCCGGTGCCGCAACCACGGCGTGCTGTCCTGGCTGAAGGGCCACAAGCGCTATTGCCGCTTCAAGGACTGCACCTGCGAGAAGTGCATCCTCATCATCGAGAGGCAGCGGGTGATGGCCGCGCAGGTGGCGCTCCGCCGGCAGCAGGCCAACGAAAGCCTGGAGAGCCTCCTCCCGGACTCCCTGCGCTCCCTCCCCGGGCCCCCTGGCAACACCGAGCCCCCCACGCCGCCGCCGGGGCCGTCGCCCTGCGCTGCGCCGCCGCGGACCCCCGCCGAGCTGGCCGCCGCCGCCGCCCTTCGCTGGGCCGCCGAGCCGCCTCCCGCGCTCCCGGGGCCGCTCCCCAAGGCAGGTGAGGCCGGGCCGGGCACCGCGGCAACGGGGCAGGAGGGAGAGGGAGGGCTGGGATCCGGCCTGCGGGTTTTTGGGGGATGGGGCCGGAACGACTAAAGCCGACGGGCTCTGTGGGAAGGGAATGGAGAAGAATTCCGTCGGGTACACTTTATCGCTCTTAAAAAGCATGGAGCCGCAAAGTGACCGGCCCGCTCCCCAGCCAGAATTGCGTCCACCGAGACAAGTAGAGGGGACCCACGAACGTCGCGGCTGCCAACCGGCTCCCCGACGTGCCGCTTCTGGGCCCGTTCCTCAGGTCTGCCGAGAGCGGGCCGCGTCCCGCGTGGATCACAGCAGCATGTCCTTCTGCTTCTCCCGGTCCCGCTCCCGGAGTCGCTGTCCGGCTCCCCGCACCCCGGGCACCGGGCTGCAGGACCTCGTCCGGGACAAGACCTGTACAGAGAGCCTAGGACCAAAAGAGGCGCCAGGAGCAGGAAGGCTTCTGCGAAGCTGTGACGACCGCGGGAAGCGGAGTGGTGGCCGGGGATGAGCGGGGCAGCCCAGTCCTCCTGCGCAGGCCTGTCCCTTCGGGTCGCGTCCGGGGCGGCTTGTGCGAGGTCGGGGGTGCCGAAACTACCGCCTGCAATGGGCACCTTGTGAGCGCGACCTGTCGGTAGTACACATTTCTGAAGGCAAAACTAACACTCTGGAACCGCAGTCGCGTTCCGTCCATTGTCTGAGCGGGAGCTGAGAGTCTTTCACGATAGGGATGTTGGGCAGGCAGGCTGCTGCCCCGGGCCGAGAGTGGCGAGCCCTGTGCTGCCGCCGCGCGGGCCCGTGTGCGCTATGGAGCCAGTCCGGCAGGGCTCCAGCGTGGGTCTCTGCTCCTCCAGCACCGGAGCGGACACGCACCGGGCCCGAGGCGGCGGCACGGCTGAGTCCGACACTGGCGTGGATGCCGGTGGTTTGGGACCCGCTTCTCATTTTCCGGCCCTTGGTACCACCTGCCTGCCCTCCGGCAGCCCCCTCCCCCACATCTCGGCGCAGTTCCGCCGGCCGCTCCCCAGGGCCGGGCATGGGGGTCTTTCCCCAAATTTCCCACTGGTGGTAGCCTCCCGCCGGCGCGGACGCTCTCCGCACACGCGGCGGCGCCTGGCCGAGACCTCCTCCCTGCGTGCAGGTAGCGGGCGATAAGGCCGAGGAGGTGGGGAGAGAAGAGGAAAAACCCGCCTTATTTCTTCGAGAAAATGAAAGTTCCATCCGCCAGCACGATATAAATCTGCCAGATAGGAATGATATTAACTTGCACGCTCAACTTTCCTTCACCCTGATGTATGAAGTTCCCGGTTTAAAAGATTACAGTAATCACGGGAGGAGAGTGTAAATCGAATCTGATAGCAATAACTTTTGGGGAAGGTCAGGCTCAAGTGAAATGTTACCAAGCAACAGGCATTTTGTTTGCAAAATACAATCGAAGTGTATTGATGAGAAATTCTTCCTTGCCAGCCAGTCAGCACTTTCTGATAATAGCTTTACGGAGCGAAAAAAAACCCAAACAAACAACAAAACATAACGTAGGTCTCCATAAATCAAGCCCCTCGGCGCTGCCCTTGCCCCCGTCCCCACCCACAGTGAGGCCGGGCTGGGGGGACCGGGGTACCCCGGGACCACCGGGGAGCCTTTCGGATCACACAGACATCACCCAGTCAGTGGTCCCCAGTCCCTGATTGTCACAGACGGCTTTTCCCCTCACTTTTTATGAACATGAGAATGCATGAGAGCAAGGTGGAAAATTGTCTCCTTAGAGATTCCTGCTGTCACCTTCCACCAGACACTGTTTAAACACACGACTTGCTTATTTCCAATTTTCCTGCGTGCTCTGAGCAACAGGGTTTTCTCTTTTCTCTCCTTCCATTAACTGTATTAAAATCGCCGTAAAAACAGAGGATAAACCTCCTGTCTACCCGGTTTCTAAAACACACACACTCCTTCCTCCAAGAGGACGTTACTCTCGTGAAAAGTTTTTCATTGGCGAAGGGATATTTCCCAATATATGGTGCAATCAGATCCGTTTGCTTTTATTCCCGCTACAATCGGCCATTTCGGTAGGACAGTTGCGAAGCTCTGAAACTACCCTTGTTGCATCTGCCTCTGCTAACCTGGAATGGTTTCTCCTCCTGATACTGTGCTCAGGAACTTCCCTTGCCCACAGGAGTGCGTGTTATATTTGTCTTAGTAGTAGTTATCAAGGCTTGTAAACAATATAATGCTATATTTGTCGTCTGATATTTCAGAGCTGGTTTCTTAATGCAGTGCAGCTGTCTACCTGTTAATTTGAGAACAATGATTAGTCTCCTACAGAGTATTTAGATCTTTGAATATAGGGAAGAAAGTCTGAAGTGAAAGTAATTAAAACCAAAACCTAAACAAAGCCCCAACAACCAAAATCAAGCTAACGAACACCCCACTCTTCCAAACAGACAGCAAAAGTAAAAAAATCAAACCCAAAGCAAACAAAAAAGCCGCCACCAAAAACATAGCCTTAGCTTTATGTGCAGTTATGTTAGTTCTGGTATCAGCCTTTCCTAATAATGCAACTCAGGTAGCAGGTACTTTTGAGATACAGGAAAATCTGTGCTGAGAAAAAAGCTGTCCTAAGAATCAAAGAACAAGAAGCTGTTTTAATACAGACTCAGCAGTGGGAATATCGAAAAAACAAATTTCGTTCCAGAATATTAGACAAAGTTTTCCAGACAAGTTATTAACCTGAGAACAGCTTTTCCATCTCATTTATTTTACTTTTATTTGGCCCCTTTACAACATTTGACTCAGGATTATTAATGTATACATGGTCAAGAAGAATTGGGGTAAATATTGGGCTGAATTCGTATTGTATTTTACTGTAAATGCATGTACGGTTCTCCCACTGTTCTCTTTCATGCGTATCTGTATTTGCACTGCATCTCTGATCTGGGCTGGTATCTCTCCCTGCATGCATATTATTAGGTGAATATCCCCATCTTTTATATTGGGAAAATATTTTATATAAGGAAAATAGTTTCCTTACTATTTCCAGGAATTAAAAACTGGATACTTCAATGCAGGTAATTTGAAATAGAAGGTGTTGGGGGGAAAACACCCCCAACACACACACACACACACACACACACACACACACACACACATGTACACACATGCAACAAAACAACCTCCCCCTAAAAGACAAAACAAAAATCCAAACCCAGAGCCACAGAAAGAAACAACCCTCCAAAACCAAAACTCCACAGAAAGACAGGAACAAAACAAGAAAACCCCCTCCCCCTAACAAAAAAACCCCCCCCCCCCAAAAAAAAAAAAAAAAAAAAAAAAAGCAAACCAACAAAATACAACCACCATCAGAAATACAGCAAAAAACCTCAGAGCTCACACAGGACAAAATATAATACCCAAAACCGCAAAAAATATCTGAGGAGGAGACTTCTTTCTTGAAGCCGAGAATATCCTCGTGTAAAACTTAGGAATTATGAAAAGCAAAAAAAGCTTTGGTGAAGAGCAGTATGTTCTAAACACAAAATTATTTTTGTACCTGAAAATAAAAACATTTGTAATTATACATGCATATAATATTCCTAAAATTCAGTGTCCACGTAGGGACGTTTGCAATGATTCTTCACAAATTTTTATTTATTTGACAATGGCTATTTCACATCTTCACAAATTTTTGTTTATTTGACGATGACTATTTTGTGCCGGTTTTAAACGAACGTAAATCCCGGTCGCGGCGGTTCCCATGAAGGGTTGGGGGCAGTCCCCGGAGCTCGCCTGATCGGGAAAGGGTTGTTTAAAGCAGTTAAAGCGCAGCCTCCAGACAGGGGAGCCCCGAGGGCCGGGCAGGTGAGCGGCCAGCTGCCGTGCGACACTCGGGCCCCGGCGTGTGACAGCTCCAGCCCGGCATGGAGCTGCCCGACACCGGCAGCCAGAAGTGCTCTCAAAGAGGGAAAAATACAGCAGCCTCCATGCTCAGTGGTAGCCAGCAGAGGGTAATTCTCTGTGTGTTAATAGCACCACTTTGATTTAAAATCAACGAAATCTTGTTTTCCGGGTCTGCCCCTGCGAGTATCAGAGCCCAGTGAGATGTGTTGCTATGACCTGTGCTGTATGAGGAGACTGCCCCTGCACAAAAGCTAAGAGCCAGCGTCTTGTGTGGTCTCCTGATGATAAAGAGGCAAAACTCAGTGGGACAAGTTTTCAGAAATTGATGAAAATTTTTTAGGCAAGCCTCATAAGAATATTTTTAAGGGTACAGAAAATGAAGAAAATCTGAAATATCCTGAAAATAACATTTTGTAAGGATCAGGGGATATATTTGAGATAACTTACCTGATCTGAGGGTGTTTATTTGTTTGTTTGATTGTTGGTTTTTTAAAACAAACATATTTTCTCCACAGCCGTACTTGCTCTCATCCCATAAAGATACACTCTAAACATGAGCATGAGGTAATTCTGAAATATGTTCTCCTTGCTTTCAGTCCATTTGGTGATATTAATCATCACTGTGCACTTTATTTTTGTGAAAATTTGGGCTATCATCTTCCTTAAATAGCTTCTCTAACTATGTCAAGATAGGGACAAGGTAGTTGGATGTCCTCAGACTGCCTGCTAAGCCTTGAATGTATAAATAGTCCACTCACCAAGATTTGTAATAAATACGTAGTGAAAGGATTTGAAGAGAAAGCTAGTGTGAGTCTTATGTTTTCTCAATAATGGATGAGCTGTGCCAATATCTTAGCACCTCCTCAAAAGGATGCACGTGCCAGTTTGCTGTCGGCAAGCAATTCCTGCATTCTGCTTTGGCTGCTAAAGCAAGATTGATGCGCTGAACGTATGAGAAAGAGGAAATGTACATGGCCTTCTCACTAATATAAAACATGCAGAGTTACTGCTTCCCTGTTTGCACATGACAGGCAGCATACCAGTGTTAAAACCGGTTGCCAAAATGGGTTATCCTGCTGAAGGAGAGAGGTTTTTGTAAGAGCATCTGTATTCCTCAGCTACACACCTATCTTCCACAGCCCATATTAGCAGCATCTCACATCTCTGTAGGGTGGCCCATTGTTTCTACCAGGTACAGCCATCCTCATGAGGAGAACCTTCCTTTGCCGTGCTCACACTGTCAGGCTGTGCTCTGCCAGGATCTCTTTATTTATAGCTCCCACTGTGGTGAGCACAGTGGCTTCTCGCTCAGCTCAGGCTTTCTCACACCCTGACTTCTTTCTGTCTAGTAGCTAAATTCCATTAATAGTCTTTTTTTCATGCTGATCCGTTAAATGTTAAGCTTAGCCCACTAACTGATGAGCAGATGCCCTGCCTGTTCCTGCAGTGAGAGGAAGGTAGGAGATGGTGAGCAGTGAGGCTCAGGTGCTTGCACACCTCTAGCTCCATCTCTAACTGCTTCCATCTTGGTTGGGCAGGTGGGATCATCAGCACATTTTAGGAAATGCTTCTTACAGTTACTTTATCTAGTTGGGTGTTTGTCAGGGGCTTGGAAAACTAAGCAAATAGTTGTATTGGTTTTTGCAGATAGTCCTTCCCATTAGTGTGTTCAAAATCACTACCCTGTGTGGTTAAAGTAGACTGTCAGCCGCAGCTTAGACAGCGATCCTTGCCCCAAGCATTGGTGCTTCCCAAGAATGTAAACATTCTGCTCAATGAGGAAGGCCAGCAGAACTGTGTTCTTGGGAAATAACAATGAACAATCTCAAGCAAGTACATTGATCCTCTTTTGCATAAGCAAGCATCCTTCCCTTCTTGACAACAAGCAGTCTTATTTCAAAGAGTTCCATACTCTGGTCAGGCATTACAAAGAGTGTTGAGTGTCCATCTTGAGACAGCATGGTCAATGGGCTTGTTTTCAGCTCCATACTCAGCTCTCATCCTTCTTAGTTTAGTACACAGAAAGCAAGATACCTGGAACAATTGCTAAGAGAGGTTGTGAGGAATAATTCCTCATCCTTGGAATTATTTAAAACTCAGCTAAGCAGGGATATGAGCAACCTGTTCTTTGTCTAAGACTGTTCCCACTTTGAAGAGGATGTTGGACCAAATGCCTTCCAGATGTCTTTTCCAAACCAGACTTTTCTAGAATATCTGCTTGGATGGTACAAGGCATCAGTCATACTTAAGGGTTTAGAGGAAAAGCTGCAATTCCTCCTGTGGGAAGAACTGATTTCTGCTGGAGGGATCAGTTTCTTCAGAACTGGAATACATTTATTTGTTTGAAGGCTCTTTAAACCTTCAATCTCTAGTCATAATGGAGTGGTTCCACAAATGCTGTTGGAGCTGCAGGGGAATTTTCATCTCCTAAGTGCCCTCTTCAGCTCACAGATAATGAGATGGTGCTAGTGAGGTCTTATGATGTGAAAGTGCTGAAGTTCCTCTGAGAAGTCTTGTAGTCGGGTGGTGTGTTTATTGCCTTGTAACCTTGTAAGTGAGAAAGGATAGATATAGCACTTTTGATGCAGCAGAAAAATGATCACATTCTTGGCTTGCACATGGGAGAATGAGAGTATGTCTAGATCAGGACACGTTATCCTTTTGCAGTTTTATTCTCATGGCATGTTGCAAAGATACCTTAATTTTTGCAGGGTCTCTGAGAAAAAGCACTTTTTCCCCCTTAGAGTCCTGGTCTGTTCATTTTAAGAAGACAGCATCCTCAAGTCTCTGTAAAAGCTTTTGTCCTCAGTTTTCTGTTAACTTCTCTGACTTCTCTTTGCAGACGTGAATGAGGAGCGGTTGGGTGATGCCAGTGGAGCAGACAATGCTGAGACCTACAGTGACAAAGACACAGACCAAAGGAGTTCCCCAGACATGACTAAAGCCAAAAGTTGTTTCAATCCCGAAAGCCCTGAAATTGTTTCAGTGGATGAGGTCGGTTTTGCAGTTCAGAAAAATGCTGGGAGCACAGAGAACCGTCCAGAGAGCCCCAAGTACCACCCAGAGCAGAACCACCTCCTGATAGAAGGTCCTTCTGGGACAGTTTCTTTACCATTCAGTTTGAAAGCAAACAGACCCCCACTTGAAGTCTTGAAAAAGATTTTCCCTAACCAAAAGCCAGCTGTGCTAGAGTTGATCCTGAAGGGGTGTGGCGGTGACCTGGTGAGTGCTGTAGAGGTTCTCCTATCCAGTCGGTCTTCAGTGGCCAGTGGAGAGAGAACTTCTGCAGAATCGGATGGTCTTGTTTTGCCTTCCAATGGGCATATTTTTGAACACACGCTGAGTTCCTATCCTATTTCATCTTCCAAGTGGTCTGTGGGCTCTGCATTTAGGGTTCCCGACACTCTGAGGTTCTCTGCTGATTCCAGTAATGTTGTGCCAAATCCTCTAGCTGTACCCTTGCAGCACCCGTTCCCTCAGCCACCACGCTATCCGCTGATGCTGAGAAACACTTTGGCGAGAAACCAGTCCAGCCCATTCCTGCCCAACGACGTCACCCTGTGGAACACCATGACATTGCAGCAGCAGTACCAGCTGCGGTCCCAGTATGTCAGTCCTTTCTCTGGCAACTCAGCCGCTGTTTTCCGAAGCTCACCTGTCCTTCCTTCCCGCTCGTCAGAAGATCCTAGGATTTCAATTCCTGATGATGGTTGCTCAATTGTGTCTAAGCAACCAATTTACACAGAAGATGAGTATGAGGACAGGTCTGATTCTTCAGACTCAAGAATACTCAACACATCTTCTTAGACTGACATTTGACATGTGACAGCTAAGCGATACTCACAGTGCAGCTGAACTACTGGCCCCTAAGAGGAGGGACATGTACTCTACAAAACTCTTGCAATTGTATTAAAAAGTTGCTTGGTATTGTACTATAGCAATAAAGACGTAACTTATTTAATTTCTTGCACTTCACTGGATAATGCCAAATAGCAATACTCCGGCTTTAGTGCTGAGTGTGTGTTGCAAAGGAAGACTTTATGGCTACCAGTTATGGGACTCTAGAAGACTCATAATGGAAACAGAAGCCCAAGGTCTACTTTGTTCCTTAACTCAGAAAAATGGGGATGTTAAACTAGAATACTTGAATGCTGTTTTATAATTGAGAGTTCCTCAGGACATAAGAAATCAAGCAAACATAGTTCAATTGCAAATGAACTAAAAAAAGGATGTTATAATCTTATGCCAGTGATCGTCCTTACAGTGAAAGAAAAGACAGAAGAAAGAAATACACGCATGTAACTAACATGAGCTGCTTCTGTGCTGTTTGAGCTTGGACACTTTTCAGAGAAATATTATTAAGAGTTATTCTTTTCCCATGGCTAGGTCAAAATGTGTAATGTCAGTGTAAAACCAATTACATCTGTGAATTGCATGAAGTGTATTGTGAAATGAACACCAGATTAAGCATTGTCAGGTTAATGTAGCATGCTAAGGACTCTAGAAAAATAAACTAAGATGATGATCTTGGTTTATGTCATTTTTACTGGGCAAATAACATTCTGAAGATAGAGAGCTGATTAGTTCCCAGCCGGGGTTAAAATGTCCAGCTCCAGCAGCTGCAGTCAGGGGAAACCTCTTTTTCCAAGTCTGGGTTTTGCTTCCGTGACTTGTAACTTGCAACTGAGATTAGGCAAAAGCTGTCATCAGGGAAGCTGAGGTCTCTTGTGTTTGTACTGCAGATATTTCCAAGCTCAGCTGAGTAAAGCAGAGCTTGCTACAATCACAGAAAGCAGAAAACAAAAGGCTCTCCCAGTGCTTCAGAAGCGTCTTTTTTTCCTATTCGGTAGAAGTTGAAAAAAAACAACCCACGTAAATAGGATGTAATAGTGGGCATTTCTTTAAAATAATTTTTAGCCTAATGGCAACTCCCCTTTTCCCCTAGAAAAGTAATGGTTTGAACAATTTATTGCATGATTGCATGCACTGATTACACTGCATATCTTATGTGTGTCTGAGTAACATTAGGAATTGCTTCTGATGAGGAATGCCTCTAAGTTTAATGTCCACTTAGAAGTTTGTTAAGCTCTTAGTGTCATCTTTTTTCAACTGTTCACAAGTGACTATGTATGCTTAACAACTGACTTTTTACAAAACACACCTCTGTATGCAGATGAAATGTCTCTTTGCTCTTTCAGGTCTGGGGATTAGTCCCACACCTCAAAAGAAAGGTGAGGCCACCCTGAAGTTGGACTCTGAAGCAGATGGGCTTTAAAACTGTTACATAAGCGTATCAGGCATGTTTTCTGGTGTCATTGTTGATACGAATGCCTGTGTTCTCATTTAGCATTTCATGTTCTGTAAGTCTTGTGCACATAATTTATAAAGGTACTGAATATGCACAAAAAGGAGAATAAAATAATGACTTTATTTTCCTTCGGGGATAAATTAACTGAAAGATACTTTATCTTGCATAACTTTTCAACCTGTTCTGAGAAGCATTTTATTGGTTATGCTACAAAGATATAAAAGCAGGGGAAGAGAAGAAAAAAAAGAATTCCCATATGAAAATATGGAAATATGGAAATGCAAGCATCTGGAGTTCTCCTGAATGCAGGGTTTCAGTTGTGTAGTGACAGACTTTCCTGCATTCACATGGCATTTGTAAACAAATTCATCTTACAGCCACCCCAGAGAGAGAAGCAAGTAGATCTTGCAAGTAGAAAGGCAGGTGGCAGTGAAACACTGTGCTCTGACACATTCCTGAGAAGTTGTCAAGGCTAGACAAGAGCAGATAGATCCTGGAGCTCCAGTTGGGAGCAGATTTCCTACCTGCAGAAATGTTAGGCATCCCCTGTACCTTAAATGAAATCTCAGTGGAGGTTTTTTGTTTGTTTTGTTTGTTTGTTTGTGTGTTTGCTTTGCTACAGATGTTGAATCATCTTCAGCAGAAAGACCAAACTGTGATACCTGCAAAAGCTCATGCCCTCTATGGTCTGTGGGTTTTCAGAGAACTGAATTTTGGCATCTTAGCATTGGGACACATCTTTCAAAGAAAGATTACCCTTGGCTAACATGGAATGAACTATTATCACACTTGTGGTGAAAAATGCAGATTTGACTGTATGATTTTTAAAATTCTATCTCTTCTGACAAGCCGTTTTCTGAAAAAAGAAACAAGTTAAAATAATCCTTGTCTCTCGTGTTACAACTCTTGACTCGATTGACAATTTTTTTTCTTAAATAAAGCAAATATATCTCTGTTCAAAATAAGAAATGCAAATTTTCATATTGAACACTAATTTTTGTTTGACCACACAATATTTTACTTATCCAGAATATTTTTTTTTTTTAAATATATGTTTGCCTGCAATGATACCTTTGAGAAATTGCTTTGTTCATCCAGAAGTGCTGTCCAGGCTGGCACTACAGGCAGTGAAATTTTTAAGGATCCCTTGGCATATTGGCAGGAATCTTCTTCTGCCACACAATGCTGGGACCTGTTCCTCGGACCTTTGCTGCGCTGTTGGGGGCTGTCCCCCCAATCCCAGCCTCCCAGCCAGGGCAGCCCCGTTTCTGCTGGAGACACATCTGCCGCATCCATCTGTGATGGGGCCCGCAGTGGCCTCCCCAGAGCTGGCGGTCCCCAGCCTGGTTCAGGCGGTGCTTTTTCCGAGGGCGGTGACGGCCGTGCCACCGCCGCTGGCGGCAGCGGGACCGCTCCTGAGCCTGCGGAGCGCCCGCGTCGGGCAGCATCCCGGGATTCCCACGGCTCCGCGGCCCGGCAGAGCCTAAAACTTGTGTTTCCCTGCTCCATCTTGTGGCAAACAGGGGTATCTTCTGGTCCGAGCTGAGGAAAAGAGTACCTTGGGATGAGAAGGGTTGAATCTGGAAGCATTGATGCTCATAAACACCCCGAGGAAAGAAAAAAAAAATTTAAATATCAAGTAGGATGCCTTGAGCTTGGTGAGGTCTCTGTAGGATCTCAGAGTCCGACGGGTTGTTGAGGTTTTTCTAGGGTTTTTTTAAAGTCTTTTTTCTTTGGGTACTAGCACGACTGTGGCTTTCTTGGAGCAAGAGACCTTCAGCACCAAGCCTTCCGCACAGCTCCTGCCCCTGTCTGAGAAGCCCCTCAGAAGCCTTTTTTGGGTTCCCCAGGACTGCTTTTTCTCCTGCCAGAGAGGTGATTTCACTGTCAGCTCTCTGGGAAATGCCACAGAAAGCTTTCTCTGCTCACAGGTCTGCTTGTCCAGCCTGACAGACACCAGTGCAGTGGGCTCTGCAGAGGCTGGCAGCTGCCCCAGAGGCACATTGCCAAATCCCCACTAGCTGACCTCTAGCTGTGACAAGGTGGTTAAGGCCAACAATGATGTAAACAGTAACAATAATAATTTCTCCCTCAAAGGAATGCCATGGAGAGCCCCAGTGTGATGCTCACGTTCTCCGGTATCTCTCATACCTGTAGACAAGGGAATAGTCAGAGGCAGGGCAGGGGTAAGCACAGCACAGTGGGGATGTCCTGTGCCAAACTGTCCCTTGCCTTGTCCTTGCTGGTGTTGTGCTGCTTTTCTGGGGGTCCCTGACTTACCCCGCTTGTGGGTCTGAAGGGCCACCTCTGCAATATTTGTTGTATGCTTGGTGAACAGGCTCACCTCACATTTGTGCTGACATCTTTGAAAAATGACTCTGATTCTCTCAGTATACTGTTTCAGTGATTCATTCTTTATGTGCATTTACTCAGCAGACATGAGTGGGGAAATAAGATTTATGCTAAATTTATATGTTAATTTTAATATTGAAGCTATCCTGTATTTGAAGAATAAGATCAATTCTTCAATTTCATTTCTTACGTGATATTGCATATTGTCATTACTGGAAAATAAAATTATTTCTGAATGCATACTATCTAAACTTCAATTTTAGTGGACATTTAACTTTGACGCATCATTCTTCTCCCTTCCCTATAAAAACTAACTTAATACAATATTTAACATTCTCACATTAGTTTGCTACTGGAAGATAACAAAGACAAGACTTTTTGCCCTAAATGATGTTTTGTTAATGTGCTCCCTGCAACATTTCTGCACTGTCACGGATTTCATGTATGACTCAGTGTTGCATGCATACTACAATAGGAATCTTGGTTAAGGGTTGTGCTCCTCACTAGAGATTAATTTCATTAATTTCCACATTAGCAGCAGTGCCTGAGAGCCATGGCCACAGCTATTCACTAAACATGCCGGTACACAGACCAAATCCTAACCTTAAGTGGAGAATCCAACCCTTAGATCACTACCAGATCATGTAGAGGATGGATACAGAGAATAAATGTACAGAAAGATCTGGTCTCTGCAGAGGGAGATGTACTTTAAAGAGGCCTCCTGCCAAAGAGTCTCTTGAAGCTGCAACAGAAAGAAAATATTTACAACACCTTAGGAGTGTGGTTTGTTGCTTTATCTCTTCACAAGCTGTGCAGGAGATTAAGATGAGAGATAGACAGGAGAAACCTTTGCAAGCTTACATCCTTGCTCTGCCCTACACTCTGAGGAAGAATTTTTCCTCCCTGTGAGATAAAGACAACTGCTACAAGGATTTCATTGTTTTTATCTGAAAATTCACAAAGAGTTTAAATGTTCTGTAAGTAAGAGAGTAGAACATAGCGTTTACCAGATGATGTATGTAAAATTCTCTTTCTGATTTTTTCTCTGTGAGAGAGAGTCTATAGCTTTTCAATGTCTGACCTGTGACTTCAGCAAGAATTGTCCAGAAAACCTTAGGGCTATCCTTAGATAGTCCTGAGCAAACAACTGTCACAAAATGGCTAAAAGTTGTGAGACCTAAGGTAAAAACTGTTTGGGTTCTTTCTTCCTCCCTTCCTCTTCTGAGTTTATTGACTTTATACATTCCAACTTTCTCCTCTGCAACACCTAGATAAAACCAGAAATCTTGAGACAAAGTTGTACTAATTGCCTTTTTTTTTTTTTTTTTCCCCACAAGAG